GGGTAATGCAGCAAAATTTTGGCCTCTCACACTTGAATCCAAAGTTAACATCTAATAGACAGGTACTATTGCAACTAATGGCAATCTATATTAATTCAATCTTCTTGAATATTATTATTTGATTAAAACTCCTCTTGAATACACAAATATCTAAATGCAATTTCTATATAATTTTCTTAAAATTTTCTCTTATTACATTTTATATTTCTAACTTACTTTTTTTTTTCTTGCAGGTTATTTTATTTTCTAATTGTGTATCATAAAATTGTTGCCTTTTGAATTTTCTTTTGATAATTTATTATTACTTCTTCTCATTTCTACTCTAAACTTATTACTATATACACAATTTTGCAACTATTAATCTTAATTTATTGTATTCATCATAGTGTATATCAAACAAAAATACTATACAAAGAATTATCTACCAGAGCGGACGCATGGGTATGATACTAGTTTAATGAATAGAAAAGAAACTAACATGTATTAGATATGTATTTCTATGTTATCTCAAAACGATTTTGCATTTAAAATTTTAATAAAATAAGTTTGAGAAAAAAAAATATGCACGGTAAATTATTTTTATATTGTCGATTAGCGGAAAAATGTATATCTCGTTAAATCACACTTTTAATTTTAAAATGTTGATTTGATAAAGCTGAATGTTAAAATTTTATTAGATGATGATGAAAATTATTTTACACCTGATGAATTTTGTTAATGTATCAACATGCAAAAGAATAATAATTTAATTTGATAAATTAAATGTTTATATTATCAGTTAATTATATCGTTTAAATATTTAAAAGATTATACTTTGAAAATCATATAAATGACAATTTGTAACCTTATGAAAAGTTTTACACTTATATTGCATTCAAATTATTAAATATGATTAATTTTATTATTATTTTTTTTTACATCTTTCCCTTTTTTTTTATAAAAATCTTCTTTATTTTATTTAATATTTTCCATCTTAAACATAACATGACATAAAGTGGTGTACGAGCATTCCTTTCTTGTTTAGATCTGGAAAAAAAAAAAAAAGGCTGAACGATGCACACATAATTGAAGGTGTGAGTCTAAAACTATAATTTGTCCCGCAAAAAAGTGAAAACATACTAGGCGGGTCTGCTAGCATTGCATTTTTTAAGTCTTAAAATGTAAAAATTTATGTTAATTTGCACGCCCACAAAAACCTAAAAAAACATAACGAAGCAAATCATATACATCTCTGTAAAATCCATTAATTTAAAATTCATAGTGTTTTAAGGAGATGCATCTTCAAACACTTTTTATTCATAAATCCATATCAGACCTTTCCCATTTTCTTCTTCATTTTCTAAAAAGACACTCAAAAACTTCATTTGAACTCTTTTGCTGCAAACCATTTCCAAACCCCATTTGAGCAAGTTTCATCAAGTACACTCGCTCCATTCTACTTCATTTGCTGCAAAGTTACTCACTCCATTAAAGCTTCTCATCCACAACACAAATTTGGTAAGTTTCTCATTTCAACCTTTTCATTCTTTTTGTGTTTTGAATGATGTTTTAGGTAACATAGGTTGTTTAAGTTGCATTAGATAGTAATACAATCAAAATATGCACATGATATAGACATGCATTGCCATTTGATTGGAGGTTATGACAACAATGAAGTTTATGCCATTGCTGAAAATCAGGAGTTCATCGGAGATGTATCTTCGAAATTTCTGTACTGTTTTCAGATATGTATCTCTGAATTTGTGTTTGGATCAATTTTGGTCGAATTCTTAAGTTTTGTCGAATTTTTAAAGTGACTTTCTTTTTTTTTTACATGTGCAATGGCTGAAAACAACCAGGATAAAATTAGTCTCGATCAAGCGTCCAAAAATGTATTTGTACAACGTGAAAGGGACATGAGCAATATCACGAGGCCACAAGTCGATGATAGCTGTTTGATGGTTCACAAGGTCGAGGTTCACAACCACCTGGTCCTACTTCCCGTAGTCTCCTATCTCAGGGATCTACATCACAGGGCCACGTATCACCAGCTCATGAAGCCCCTAAAGCCCTTAAATACCAAGAGGAACACGCTACTAATGCCCATATAGATACTTATCTAGGAGACCCACTTGACACCTCCTTACGTCATTTGTATGCAGACCATGCTGTTAAGCATGTTTGAGAATGAAATGTATATCTATTTACCTTTGCATTACACCTGTTTTAAACTAATTTAATTGCGACCGATGGTGATGTTTTTACAGGAACTTCCATGTGTAAAATCCATAAACCACGAAAGCAAGATATTGGATTTGGAACAACCCAATGCTGACTAATTCAAGAATGTTATTCTCTACCCTAGTCTTGTCGGTTTATGTGTTGTTGCGTACATTACCATAAACCATGATATGCATACGCCATTTGCAGAGAGATAACAGTCAAAGACGTCATATTTTGACATTTCTATTGGTGAGATGACCATCACCCTGGATGATGTCTCATGCCTCATGCATGTTCCCATTATAGGAAAATTATTGGACCACAAAAGGCTTAGTCGAGAGGAAACCAGTGAGATGCTGGTTACATATTTAGGGGTTGACCTAAATGACGCTGCAAATGAGGTATAGAACACCATAGGTGCTCATGCTATATTTATATTTTTGGAAAATCTTTATAAATACCACCACAGATGGTTGTGGATGAAATGGTGATGACATGTTGGTTGAGTACCACTAACGATGTGCATTTAGGTGTTACCTCTTGTTCCTGGCTGACGCGTCCATGGTTGTTGACAAAAGTGAAACCTATGTCGATGTAGTCTACCTTAGATACTTCATCGACTTACGCCAATTCACGAAGGTGGGCGAGGGTTATCTTTGGAAGACAAAAAAAGATGCTGGAAGCTATACATTACTTATAATTATTTACTGTTACTAATATTTTTGTGACTTTTTTATTACACTTGTTATTAATATTTTATCTGAAACTTTGTTATGGATGTATCATCTCCCATTTTCCTCGCATCTCCGGGTGGTAACCTGTACCTAAGTACACTGAGGATTGACCATATGTTGTCGCCTTTGCCTCACTCAGAAGGAATTAAGCGATTGCGCCATTCTAGGTATATCTTGACCTTCATATAGCATATGATATTGCATTTTGCCCATACGGAGGTCACCGCTAGGCGCGTAAGTTAGACCTCATTTCATATACTCTAGATGGATGACATGTGGGTCAGGTCTGATGTATTTGTATCTTCCTGAGTGAGTGATGATCTGTTTGGGTATTTGTAGATTACTCTGAGACACCCCTGAGAGTTCTCTCTTCCCACCATCCTCCGCAGAGAACTTGATGCAATACTTAATGAATTCAAGAGTCATTTGATACCAAAGGACTATCACAAGGTGCTAGCTCTTGTACGTTGGGCCTATGTAGACAACTACATTACATGGTTCTATAGGGTGTCACAATATATTATGACACTAGATGGTTCTGAAAGACCACCTAAGTCATCTAATTAGGAGGTACTTAAGGCTAGGAATGACCACGCGGAAGACATAAGCAGCGTTTATCAACATATTGCGAGATCGGGCATAAATACATTACTTTTTGAGGAAGGCATTATTGTCGAGACACAAAATACCTTGCACTACAGGCGAAAAAATTGGGGGGGGGGGGGGGGGGTTAGACATACTCAGTAGTTTGTGTTTGGTTGTATTTTTTTTTTTAGTATTATCTAGATACACCCTAGAAGTTTACAAATATGCATCTCGGGACCATATTTTTACCAAAAATAGAATGTATGGCTGAATTACGAAGACTAATGTGATTTAAGGTGCGTTCGGAGATACATCTTCGAACACAGGAAGAACATTTTTAGATTTCCAGAAATGTGGGATGCATCCATAAAATGGATAAAGCATTTCCGATCATTTAACTTGTCACCCCCTAAATTAAACTTAACACCCCTAAATATTTTCATAATTCCCAAAATGTCTAAGGATGATTGAGTCAAAAGTGTGAATGAATTCCCGATAGTTCATTTTTAAATTGTTGGTATGAATTTTTATTGTTTCTTTTAAAAGTGTTGTAATTTACCAAAAATTTCAAAAAGTGCTGTAGTTTACCGGAAATTTCAAAAAGTGTGGTAGTTTATCGAAAATTTTAAAAATTTTGGTAGCGTAAAAACAAATTTCAAATTTTTAATTTTTTTTTTGAAAATTCAGGTATTTCTTCAAAAAATTTTTTTCCAGAAATCATTGATTTTTTATTAGAAATTTCAGATAATTCTGAGATTTTAATTTCAAAAACTCCAATAAATACAATAAGAAATCCAAAAAAAAAAACATAAAAGTAATAGAAATCACAGTATAAAAATGTCAGACTTAATTGAGAATGTGACAAATTAATTCCTCATCGTTTTTCTAATCTAAAATAAACAGCCCATAAGAAGTCAAAACCCATTGGGTTCCATTTCCAACCAAATGGCCCAAAATCTCATTTTCCAGGTTTTCCATACAACCTCACTAAATAAAAAAAATATTTCCATACAATTTCACAACCACCAAACAAGCCTTCATATACAATCTTTTCCTTAAAAAAATTTTCAAGAGAACCCAAAACTCAAATATTTCCTAGATTTTTGTTTCCTCCCCTCCCCTCATTTTTTCTTTATTAAAGTTACAAGTTCTCTTCTATCCATTACATTATCACTATCCTAAGTTCTTTACCCAATTAAACTGCACTCATTACTTAATCTCTAAGAAAATAACTTTTACACACACATTTTTTATCACTTATAATTCTACATTTTCATCTCTTAATCTTTCTTAGTAAGTTAAGTCCATTTCTAGTTTCTACTTAGTTTTCAATTTAAATAAAAAATCATGTTTAGGAATCTTTTCTTGTACTTGCTTTGTTATTAAGCAAGCATATAATTGAAATCTGTATAATAAGACACAAGACATGGAATTTTCATATGCTATAGAATTTTAAATTTTCATATGAAATAATTATAAATGTATTCTAGGTGTTGCTTGTTATCACTTTTTGATAGATTCTCTATGAAGAAACTTTGTTGCTCAGTTTTTCTGTTTTGTTGTTCTTGTTTTCGCATTCTTCTTGTTATTTCCATGGAAAAATTCAAGCTTAAATTCAAAGGAATTTTCTCTGTAAGAATGTGACTTTTTTTTTCTGCTAAATTTACTGTCATGCATTACACTGATAATTGTGGTTGAACATGTTTTTTCGATAGAGCATAGGTTGTCTTCGACGCCGCGAAAAACCTTCTGTTGTTATTTCAATGGATGAGGGATTTAATGGAGAAATAATTCAAGGCCAAACAGTGGCTAAGAATGATGGATCATCTGATTTTTGGAGTAGCAGTGCTTATGAAAAGGATCATAGCGCGGCTCGATCGACGAGAAGTGTTTCGTCGAGTCGAATAACAATGAATTCTTCTTCTGATCTTCAAAGTAGTTCAAATACTCAGATTAGTCCTCCTGAATTTGTCAATCAAGGCAAGTTTGTTGTCAATTATTTATTACAATTATGCAGAATGCGATTGTTTTGATTTTTTTCTTCTGCATTTTCAATAATTCAGGATGGTTTATAGATATACTTTTAATTCATTTTATCTGTTGTTATTCAAATAGATATTTAATGTTTATTATAGTGACAATTTTTTTTAATGTATATGTAGGACTTATTGTATGGAACCAGATAAGGCAAAAATGGGGTGAAAATAAAATCACCCAAAGTAATATAGAAGATAGAGAATCAAGAATAAGGTAAAATTATTCTTTTGATATATCAATAAACTCTCGCATAGTTTTAAGATTAAGAGTAGTTTATATATAATAGTATAATATTCACGCTCTTCAGTTTATTGAGACAATATATTTTCTGACAATACTTTGTAGGCGCAACGAGCCAGCGATATAGATAAATATAACGGTTTTTGAATGATAATACCTTTATAATATTTTGTACCTTATTTTTACATCAAAATTATTTTTGATGTGTTTGTTAATTTTTTTATTGAATTCATGTTCCACAGTTCAAATGCTACATACGATGATCTACTTGGAAACAATAAGTTTTTTCCCCAACCTATTCCTCTAAGAGTATGATCATTTTTTAAACATGGTTTATCAATTATTGAAATTCTAGCGAGATAAAATGTGACAACATATTAATGATTGAGTATAATATTTTTTGATACAGGAAATGATTAACTTTCTTGTTGATATTTGGGAGCAAGAGGGTCTATATGATTGATTGATCAAGAAAAATATGTGAGTTGTTTTTATTTTCTATTATTAAGGATTCTTTTTTAAAATTTTAAATGAATTTGATTAGATTATTAACTGTATAATTAAGGTTTAATGTTTATTGTTGCAACTAGTGACACAAGAAACTGTATTTTATTAATGTAATCGTGTAAAGATATTTGGTTTATGTTATTGGACTGATGTTTATAACAATACCAGTTTTATTATGATCCTTATACAATAGAAGTGGTTGTTGAAAACCGTGATTAGTTTTCATTGAAGAAAATAGGGTGATTAGATGAAAAATTAGATTAATAATTTTGCATAAAAAGTATAAACAAGTATTTTTCAAACTGATTATTTCAATCTCATTAGTAATAAATATGGTTATCTTCTATCTTGGTTGATTTCTCTCTACTATTTATTCTTCTTACAACATAATCTACATATATTCTCTCTACATGTTCAAACCAACAAAAATTTCCATTATTTTTTCTATTATAGGTACTACTCAAACACTCTATTTAATATTGTTATTTCTAATATTATTCCGTCTAGTTTTATTACACATCCAACATATATAACATCCACATCTCTGTTACACTTACTTTATTCTCATATTGATTGTTAACCATCCAACATTATGTCTCGTACAACATTGCATGTCTTACCGCTTTTTGATTAAAAAAATCTTTCAACTTGAGCGGTACTTTTGTGTCACATAAAATTCTTGAGGCTTTCTTCTATTTAAACCATCAAGTTTAAATTCGAGGGTTTACATTCTCTTCTATTTCATCATCTTTGTATATTATGGACCCAAGATATTTAAACTGTGTGGCTTGTAATATGATATGATCTCTAACTTTCACCTATTGGTTAGGAACATTTCTCCTTTTGTTGAGCTTACATTTCATATTACTTATGCGAAAACCATGTGTTTCTAAGGATCGTTTAAAAAACTTTAACCTCTTATTTAAATCCTACTTTGACTCTCCAACTAAGACTAACCTCTTTATTCTCTAGTGTTTTCCACAAAAATTTTCTAAAAACTCTATCATAAGTTGTCTCCAAGTCAATAAAAATTAAATGCAAGTCTTGTTGGTCCATCAGATATTGCTCAATCATACGTCATAGTAGATAGACCACTTCCATGGTCGACCTCTCAACATAAAACCAAATTGATTCTCGATAACTTGAGTTTTTTTCTTAAAATATGTTCAATTACTCTTTCCTATAACTTCATGGTATGGCTCATAATTTATCCACCTTATAATTTGCACAATTTGTTATATCTCTCTTATTGTTATAGATTAGAACCAAAGTGATTTTTCACCATTCATCTAACATAATCTTTGACCTCATAATTTTGTTATAATTCTGATCCTCTTCTTAATGTTGATCCTGATAGAGTCTAGTGAGATATCATATCTTTCATTAAATAAATTGTAGAAAAATATACTCCACCTATCCGTTATATCATTTTCTTGATCTAAATTTTTGTCTTTCTTTATCTTACCTTAGCAAGTTTATATATAGATTTTTCTCTCTCTTTGATTTTTAAAATTTGGTATAATCCATCAAACATTTGAATTTTTTCTTCACTCATTGTCTTCTTGGTATCTTTCTTAAGTTTCTTATACTTTTCCTAAGTTTCAATACTTTGACACCTAGACCATTATTTAAAACATTTTGTTTTACACTGAACATTTTCATTCCACCACCAAGATTGTTTATTCCTAAGTCCAAAACCTCTTGATTCTCCTAAAGTCTCTTTAGCTATTTTTTAATCTCTTTGATCATCTTATTCCACATATCATATGCACTTCCTGGTGGATGTTTGAATTCTCCCTCCGAGATCATGTGTTGGAAACCCCTTAATTTTCACCCTTGAAAGCCACCACTTGATTTGTGAAACTCCCATTCATACGACTTCATCTCTCCATTCTCCTCTTGACTCTTACATCCATGATCAATACTTTATATTAGGTAGTCGAGCTCTCTACCAACATAACTTTAAAGTGTAAGCAAATTTTTCTATCATACTTCATAATATGATATAAATCTATCTAAGAACATGTCACCTCACTCTTATATGTGATCAAATTCTCATCTCTTTTCTTAAATCAAGTATTAGTTATAGTAAGATCAAAAACCGATAAAAACTCCATGATGGATTTACCCTCCGTATTTACCTCCATGAAACCATACCCCCATGCATGTCCTTAAGACCTCTTGTTACGCCTTCTAATGTCATTTAGATCCTCTCCTAGAAAAATATTCTCTCCTGAGGATATATCCTAAAATAAGTCTTCTAAATCCTTTTAAAAATTTACTTTAAGGTGTTCCGCTAATGCAACATGATGTGCGCAAACACTAATAACATTAAAGGTGACTTGTTCCATTACGAATTTTATGAATATGGTATGATCTTCTATTCTTTTAACATACACACCATCCTTCTTTTCAATCTCTCTACAATAATCCTCACCCTATTTCTTGAACTAACTTTGTCGGTTTACAAAGCTTAAATCCCAAACTGTCTAATTCTTTCACATTTGCACACGTCCACTTAGTTTTTTCTAGGCACATGAAATTGGTCTTCCTCTTAACTATAGTGTCCATTATTTTTATAGATTTTTCAGTAAGTGTACTTATATTCAATGTTTCAAAATGAATTATATTCTTATGAACTAACTCCTTCCCTCACACCCGTTCACAAAAATATATGAACCCTTATTTATTTTCACCACATCGAGACGGAGATGCAGTCTCCCTTACTCTTTTAACACTGTACTTGAGTCATATAACATATTATTTATGAATAACGACCTAACACTTACGATATTACGTAATTAATTTATATCATAAAAATTTGAGATGGTCATGCATAACAATAGTAACCTATACAAGATTTATTGTTAGATGCCCGTAAAGAGAAAATTTAAAAGTATTTTAGCATATTATAAGGGTAAAATTGTAATAAAAAAATATTTACAAGAGAAATCAAAGTTGCCCAAATCTCAGGGGACCAACTCTATCTCATATATGAACAAAACATAACTCTTTAACTTGTCTATGTTTATCACTCTAAATTCAAACTTGTTTAAATTGATTCTTATTAACGAAAACTTGAATTTGTAACTGTTGTTCTAATATACTATTGTTTACATCGATGGTTTGTTAATTTCATCAGATCAGGTTGACCTCACAATTGACATTTTTAGTACAATACGTACTCATCATGCACGGATAATATATTTTTCATGAGTTATTAAAATGTGAAACATATATTTTAAATTTTTTTCCCAAAGCAAAGGAGGTCAATATTGAAGAATTGTTGTAGCCTCCAATTTGGACTTAAAATGCTATAGTGCTCATTATCATAGTCATAGATATAAATCAATACTTTTCATGTTTTGCACGTGTTTTAGTTTAGAGATAATATGTATAATTAAGTGGTGAATATAGTCAAATTTCTAGTACCGGAATGAAGTTAATTAAACTAGAAACAGTTGAATATGATGAAAGAGATTAATCTTGTTTAAGTCCACTAATTAAGAGTTATGAAAGTTATGAGAGTGTGAAAAATGTAGCAATTTAGCATTTTGTTCATGTTTTATGATTATTTCGTGATTTGAATCAATAACACGTGTGGAAATAGAAATCAGAACATGTTAATTATAGGGTCTCACATATTGATGTCCACAAAAATAGTCGAATAAGATTGTCAAGATCCAAACTTTGTGAATCTCACGCCATATAATTGATAGAATTCAATTACTTGTTGTGGTCGAAAAATCGATGCAACTATTGCGAGGTAATTAAAACTTATGTATTATTGTCAATTATTATTAGTGGACGGTTAAAATTCATTTAACTGTAATTAGGCAATGATAAATTCACGCGTTACCATTAATTTAATTTTGTCTAAGTGTTATAAATACGCATTGTAATAAGTCAATTAAAAATGGAATGAAACAGTGATTCATTCATTGTTTCTCTCTGTGTATGATTGTTTACCTGAAAATTCTGTTACTTTCATTCCCTCTCATTTCCAAGAACTGATAACAACAATAGTGAATTAATAGAATAGTAAATTTTCATTTCAACAAATTGGCATCAGAGCAAGATGATCCACAACCACGCACACGACGAACATGGCAGAAACTTCAAAAATCAGTGATCAAATTCATGCGAAACTTCCAATATTGCGGCAGCTTTTGGTGCTAGTCAGGCACAGTGGTTACAAATGCTGCTACATGAACTGAAAGTGAAGTGTGAAAGTACTATGAGGTTGAAAGTGGATAACAAGTCCTCTATTGATTTAGCAAAACATCCAATTGCTCATGGAAGGAGCAAGCATATAGAGATCAAGTATCATTTCCTAAGAGATCAAGTGGCCAAAGAGAAACTTGCAATATAACACTACAGTACATAAGACCAGTTAGCAGATATGTTAACAAAGGGCTTGAAGACTAGCAAGTTTGAAGATATGAGAAGCAAGTGTCGAATGTTAAGCCTTGCAAGTTTGAATTAAGGAAGAGTATTTTGAAGTAATTAAAACTTGTGTATTATTGGCAATTATTATTAGTGGACTGTTAAAATTCATTTAACTGTAATTAAACTAATGGTAACGCGTGAATTTACCATTGCCTAATTACAGTTAAATGAATTTTAACTGTCCACTAATAATAATTGCCAATAATACACAAGTTTTAATTACCTCACAATACTCTTCCTTAATTCAAACTTTCAAGGCTTATCTTCCTTCTCATATTTTCAAACTTGCTAGTCTTCAAGCCCTTTGTTAACATATTTGCTAACTGGTCTTCTGTATTGCAGTGTTCTATTGCAAGTTTCTCTTTGGCCACTTGATCTCTTAGGAAATGATATTTGATCTCTATATGCTTGCTCCTTCCATGTGCAATCAGATGTTTTTCTAAATCAATAGCTGGCTTGTTATCCATTTTCAACCTCATAGTACTTTCACACTTCACTTTCAGTTCA